CCCCAGCCGGGGGGGCGGGGGGGGGGGCGGGCCCCGGCCCCGGCGCCCCCAGCCGGGCGGCGGAGCCGGGCTGTGCCGGCCCCGGGAGGGGGCTGCTGCCGGTGCCCTGCGCCCCCGGCTCTGCTCTGCCATGGGGCCCCCGGGGCTGACCGGGACCCTGCCCGTGGGGCGCAGCAGGGCCCGGGAACCTGCGCCCCGAGCCCTCGCTCACAGCAGTTTCCCTCTCCCCCCAGCCCCCAGCCAGCCCTCCGGGAGCATGGCCCAGCAGGATGGCGAGCGGGGGCCTCAGACGATGGCACTCATGGCCCCCGAGCTGGAGTGCAAGATCTGCTACAGCCGCTACGATGCCCGCGCCCGCAGACCCAAGCTGCTCTGCTGCGGCCACCGCCTCTGTGCCAAGTGCCTGCGCAAGATGGTGGCACTGGGGGACGCGTCGCCCCACCAGCTCCGCTGCCCCTTTTGCCGCCGGCACAGCCCGGTGCCTGGTGGGGACGTGCAGCGTCTGGAGGATGACGGTGAAGCGCTGACACTGCTGACAGGCCATGAACGGGCCAAGAAGCAGGGTCCCCCCCGGTCCCCTGAGGTCCTCCTCTGCCCCAGTGTGCTGGAGCCCGCACCTGGCCCCGACTGCCTGGTCGTCACCATCCTGGAGGTGCCGGAGGACGTGGCCCCACCGGAGGGCCTGGGCAGGCTGGAGGTGGTGCGGCTGTACCGCCCAGCCAGCCTTGGCACGCTGCCCTGCCACGGCCCTGGGCAGAAGTGCCGCTCCTGGGGGTGGCGAGCCATCCCCCGCTTCATCCTGGGCGTCCTCTGCCTCCTCTACTTCAGCTCCCTGCCCTTTGGCATCTACCTCCTGCTCATCGAGCACCACAGCCTGGGCATCGTCTTGGTCAGCCTCGTGCCCTCCACCCTCCTCCTCTGCATCATCTACAGCCTCTGCCAGTGTCTGTGCCGGGAGCTCTTCGGGTTCCCCCGCTCCTGACCCTGCATGGCCAAGCCCTGTGCCCGCACCGGGGAGGCTTTAGGCACCTGGGAGCGTTGTCCCTTGGGGTACGGGTGTTTTCTGACCCACAGTGTGGCAGTGTACCTGGACCACAGGGAGATGCTCAGCGCCTATTGCCTTCCCTTGCGGAACACTGCAGGCTTTGCCAAGTGCGAGCTCATGCCAGAGTGGCTGCAGGAGCTTGTTGCAGCCTCCAAGCGTTCAGGCCAGCCCCCAGGCCCTCGTCCTCCTCCTCAGCAGACAAAGAGTGGGAGCTGGGCCGAGAGAAAAGCAGCAGCCGGGAGATTAATCCCAGCTAAGGAAGCACGAGTGCTCGGCGCCCAGCGCCACGGCTGGAGGGGCCCCGGCAGCTGGCTGCAGCCTGGCGCCGGCAGGAGAAGGGCGGGCAGAGCCTGGGGGCTCCTGCGGCCAGACTGGCACCAGCACAGCTCCGTGTCCATAGTGTAAATAGTTCTGTCCATGGCGCCCCTGCTCCTCGCAGGGCTGCTCCCATTGCAGCTGTGTTTCTTTCCCACATGTGTGAGTCCCGTGTTTGCCGACGCTGTGTACCGTATGGGGAGGAGCGGAGAAGAGGAGTTTCTTTGGTGTGTAAAGATGTCTTTGCAGCTGTTTTGTAGTCGTTGTGGTTTTTATGCGGAGCCTCCGGGCTTTATTTAACCTCCTTGGGTTTTGTTTTGTAAGGATTAATTTAACACCGCTAACCATTTTATTACTTTTATCAAGAAGAGCAAAGTCTATTTTTGATTTCTGTTTCCTAGTTCTTAGGAACATTAAAAGCCAGTGTACAGCTCTGCCCCGTGTCCATGCCTTCCCAGGGGTCCTGGTCCCCTCTCCCCTCCCCAGCCAGCTGCCTCGGCCCCACTTGTCATCCTGGGGCTGCGCGGAGCCGCCTGCCACAAGCCCGGCCCCGGGGGGACGGGGGGAGCCCGGTGGGTCTGAGCCCGGTCCTGGCAGTCAATGTCCCCTTCAGCAAGCGGATGGGCGCTGCCGGTCCCCCCGCCGTGTCCCTCGTGTGCAGTGCCTCCCGCGTGTCCCTGCCCCGTAGCACAGCGCTGTGACGGCCACCCCAGCCCTGCGCCCTGCGCGTGGGCCCTTCCCACGGGTGACTCCGGGCCTCCAGGGAGGGGAGAAGGCGTCAGGAAGGCATCGAATCGCCTGGAAACGCTGCTGCTCTTCCTCTGCCAGCCGGGGGAACCCCCTCGAGGACCCCAGCTGGCAGCGCGGCCCAGCACACAGGAGGGGGCAAGGGGCAGCCCGAGGAGGTCTGGGCAGGACCTGCGCTTCTCCCAGGGGCGGTGGAACCACCCACAGCAGTGCCGGCAGTGGAGATGCCTGCATCCCCGCCAGCATCCCCGCCGGCATCCCCGCTGTGGACAAGCAACACTGGGAAGTCCGACAGAGTCATGTTTATTAGTGCCCCATGTCCCTCTGTCCTGCTTTCCTTGTCCGGGCAGCTGCCGGGTCCCGTCTGTCCTGCCCTGCCTGGCCATGGGGCTGTCCCCTCTCCACGGCCGCAGCCCTGGCCCCCACCGGGCCCCTGGGGACAGGGCACGACTGCCCCAGCCCTACCCCTGCTCCGGCACCGCTGGCACCCCCGGGGGGCACCCGCTCTTGCCAGAGGGAGATGCCAGCATCGCCGCCACGCTCCAGATCTTGGGTTTCTGGGACTGCTTGCCTTGCCCAGGGCCTGGCCCCTCCTCGGGGCTGCCCCCACACCCATCCTGCAAGGGGCTGGGGCTGGGGTCAGGGCCGGGGGGGGCACCCGGCAGGGCCCCCTCACCCTCGCTGTCCTCGCCATCTGAAGCACTGCACGGTGCCCAGCCCGCCTTGTTCTCCTTCTTGAGGCGCCGGCGGGCATTGGCGAACCAAGTGGAGACCTGGGTGAGGCTCATCCGGCTGACCACAGCCAGCATCACCTTCTCCCCCTTGCTGGGGTAGGGGTTCCTGGGGTGCCGTGCCAGCCAGGCCTTCAGCGCCCCGGTGCTCTCCCGTGCTGCTGCCACCTTCACCCGCCCTGGCTCCACGGGCAGGGGCTGCCGGCAGCAGGGGGGGCAGAGCCCGGCGCTGGGCAGCAGCCCTGGTGGCACCTCGTAGGCTGGTGAGACCTGGAGGGGCACAGGGGTGTCAGGGCAGGATGGGGCAGGGGACACCCGCAGCTGGAGGAGAGGGGCTGGGGGATGTGGAGGCTCAGCCCTTCACACATAGGAAGGGGCAGAGCTGGGTCCTGCTCATCCTCATCCTCTCCCGTGGCTGGCACTGCACGCCCCAAGGTGCCGGGATGCAGGAGGGGGTGCAGGGGGTGCAGGGAACCCGGGACAGCAGCTCCGCAGCCCTGACCGCAACCACCCCACACAGCCCCAGCCCAGTCCCGGGAGGGGGTCCCACGTCCCAGCCCCCCGGGAGCTGCGGTGTGGCACTTACCGAGGACGCCAGGAGGCTCAGGGGGGGCGGCAGCAGGCTGTAGCCGGCCAGCATGGGGCAGGGGCAGGGACAGGGCAGCAGGGCTTGGGGGGGGGCCCGCAGGGGTGCCCAGGGCCCCCTGCAGCCCCCCAGCTCTTGGCCTGGGCTCCCCTCGCCCCGAGGAGCTGCCATGCTGCAGGGAGAGAAGCCTGGGAGCTGCTCCCAGACATTTTATAGTTGCCGGGGTCTGCGGTGACTGACAGCTGATTAGGGGGTATTAGCACCCACGAGAGTGGCAGCAGGGATCTGGGGCAGCTGATACCACCCCCTCCCCGCCTATTGTCGGGCAGCGACTGGCAGGGGGGGGGCTCCCCCCCCGCCCCCCCCCCCCCCGGGCAGGGGGGCCCCCCTGCCACTGCATGCCCTCACCCCCTGCCTTGCGCTTGATCCCCCCCCCCCCCCCCCTATTGTCGGGCAGCGCCGGGCAGGGAGAGCCCCCCCCGCCTGCCCACCACCAGCCAGGATGTGTCCAGGACCCACAGCAGGACCCCGGCCCTCCCAGGCCCCCCGACCCTGCATGGCCCCAGCACAGCCCGCACAGTGCCCAGGGATGGGGTGCAGCAGCACTGGGGGCTGGTGCACAGGGCCCACGTGAGCCCCACGGTCCCACGGACACCCACGGCCATGGGGATACACATGGGACACAGCACATGTGGGGCTCCACTGCGGTGCCAAGAGCCATCAGTCCCCATCCTTGACCCCAGCCCTGACCTGGCCCTGGGGCAGGGGTCAGCAGAGCCCCCCACGCTGCAGCAGGCCGGGTTGCAGGGCTGGGGGCTGGCAGGAGAACTTGTGCACAGCCCAGTAGGATGCAGGCAGTGTGAGGCACTGCCCCGGAGCCCGCTCGTCCTCTGGCTTGGCCATGTCCTTGCCCAAGCCCCAGTGCCACCGTGCCTGCAGCTGGGTTCCTGGCTGCAGAGGGGCAAAGGGGAACGGGCCCTGCAGCCCCAGGGACAGCCAGGGACCCTTTGCCTGGGTGGGGACCTGGCCCCTCAGGCACTGGGGCGTTCCTGTCTGCCAGCGGAGCGGGAGCAGTGGGCGGGCAGGGCAGCGGTGGGCAGCTGTGCGAGGGGCCCCGAGAGCTCGTGACCCCCCAGGCTGCCCAGCTCCTGCCGCTACTGCTCCCTGCTCAGACTGGGATTATCCCACAGGTTGTATCCGTCATTAAATACTGACTAATAACGCTCTCAGGATATTAAATATGTAACAAACCCGCTTAGTGCTGGCTGGGGACGGGAAGGTGAAGGTCACTGGTGCTAATGAGCCCTGCTGCATCCCTGGGCTCCCCGCAGGCCCCTGGTGACAGGAGAAGGTCCCAGGGCCGAGGTGCCAGCACTGAGGGCGAGGGGCTCCAAGCCCCTGCAGCCCCACTGCGCCCCATGGCCAGAGCCCCAGCAGCACCCAGAGCTCCCCATGTGCAGCTGCCAGCAGCCCCGGTCCCATCCGTCCCAGCACCGTCCCCACCTTGGGCTGGTCCTGTGCTCTTGGCAGCCCCAGGCACGGAAGCCGCGGGGCAGCCAGGAGCCCGTGCCGCTGGCTGGGAGGGGAGGGCAAGGCCGGATGGCCGGGAACAGCCCTGGCCACAGCCCCACAGCAGCCCCGTAACCTTGTCCCCACGGGACTCCTCCAGCCCTAATCAGCGCCGCTGGCAGCGCTGCGGATCCGCTTTATTAGATAATGGGGCTGTAATCTAGGAAAGCGCCTGTGGATTGCTGCGGCGTGCCTTAACCCTGCGCAGCACAGCTGGAGAGGGAGGGCCGTGGCCAGCCACTGACATGGCGGATGGACACAGCTGGACAGCGGCTGAGCCACGGCCGGACAGGCACAGCCACACACCAGCATGGCCGGGCACAGACAGGGCTGCAGCCGGATGTGAAGGCAGCAGGACAGAGCCATGGCCGGGACAGAGCCACGGCCAGGACAGACCCACAAGCGCCCATGGCCGAGGCTGCTCGCCCAGGGGAGGTGCAGGGCCACCCACACCCTGCTTCCCTGGCTGGGCAGGAGGGCCGGGGGGTCCAGCTCGTGCCAGCCCAGTGCTGGCCTGATGCACCCAGGCACCCCCAGCAGCCAGGGAGGGAGGGTGCTGCCATCATTTTGGGCAGAACACAGGCTCCGTGTTCACAGCACGAGCCCCAGCACTGTCCCCAGCCCCTGCACGAGCTGGACTGGGAGCCCGGCTGCGAGCCCAGCCATCACACTGCACCAGTCCCACATCCGCGGGGCTCCGGCCTCACGGAAGCTCTTGCTGAAGTTGGGTGGTTCCAGGCCTTTTTCCCCTCCGCAGATAAATCAGTTTAATGCAAAAGCATAGAACTAAAACTCCGAGATTAGCTGTTATAATCACATGTAAATACTTCCAGACAATCCGCTCAGGCAGGGGCAGCGTGTGTAGTTTGGGACAGAGTTACACGGGATTTAGGCTGTTTACCAGTCGATTTAATTTCATGACTCCAGCCTCAAACCCACCCTTGTACCAGATGCCCAGCTCACTTCCCAGAAGTCAAGGTCACTCGGGC